AGAAGATATTTACATAATATAGGATAAAAGTTATTAGGCTAAAATAAAGGTTAGGTTAGGTAGTAAGTTAGTAAATCAGTTTCCAGCTGTTCTCCGTGCGTAGAGGTTTTCTCCCCGGCTCTGGAACTCAATTTTTGCAATGTATGTTACCTGAAGTCATATTTAATTTAATACTGAACATCACAGTTTTTTACCAATAAGATGTACCTATAATCTTTTATAACTATATGTAATTTAAAGGGTTTTTACCCATGTATTTTTGGTGGCTCAGGCATTTTAACCTAGTAAGTATAGCCATTTTTGCTTTTTAACCATAGTCAAAATTTCATAACCACGTTTCTTTTAACTAAATGGTTTATACTTATTTTAGGCGATTTTAAACCTGATGATGGACTGTTTAGTCCGAAAACGTTTGTTTTTTTGATGTAGCCCTTTAAGTGTTTTTAAATAAATATACCCACTTACGAAGACTAACCTCTTTTTTGTGATACGTGGTATACAGCCAGCTACAGGAATTGTTTTCCTTGTGGATTTTTTTTAAATAAAGGTTATCCTTTATACTCGTAGATGTTAATGATCCATAGTTGAAAAACATTGTAAGTACAGTTACAATGTTATTTATATCAGGTGTCAACATATAGCAGTGTGAAACTTCATATTGTAAGAACAGGGATTATGAGAGGAATTTAAATATGAGAAAATACAGGGTGTCCCGGAAAATAGTGCGTTCCTTAACGATATGTGCAGATTACAGTATTTAAAACAAAAAAGTCTTATAACATTTTTTTATAAAGTTAACCGTTTTCAAAAAAAAAAAAAAATAATTTTAATCGATTGGATTATTGTTCGCAGAAAAATTGTATGCAAGAAACAATTGTACGCAGAAAAATTGCAAATTGTTGCGTTCCTTGTTATTCTTCGTTATTTACTGTAAATCAGCTATGATGAATCATCGATCATTAGGCATAATATGTATTGATACTGATACGAGTGATAGAGAAAAAGCATATATTTGTTTTTATTAAATATTTAATAATTAAAGTTTGAATACTGTTTTTACATACGTGGAAAATTATTATTACAATGAATGTTCGAAATAACCACCATTTGCACAGATACATGCGTTTATTCGACGAATCCAATTATTCTTAATATTATAAGTATGTAAATTATTTCTGATTATTTCAGCAGCATCAAAAATTCGTTGTCGCAACTGAGCTTCTGTTTTAATTTCATCCTGGTTGTCGTATACTAATGATTTTAGATGTCCCCAAAAATAAAAATCCATAACATTGCATCCTGGTGTTCTGGGTGGCCACAGAACGTGTCCATTTCTACCGATCCAACGACGAGGATAAGTGATGTCCAGGAAATCTTTAATCTGTCTCGTAAAATGTGCTGAAGCCCCGTCATGAAGAAACCACATTTCAGAGCGAATTTGTAACGGAACGTCTTCAAGAAGTATCGGTAGAACATGCTGCAAAAAATTTAAATAGGTTTCTCCATTCAATCTTCTGGGAAGTTCGTACGGCCCAACCAGATGGTTACCAATAATCCCAGCCCATAAATTTATACTAAATTGTTTTTGAAAATTTGTCCTACGTATAGCATACGGGTTTTCATCATTCCACACGTGACAATTGTGAAAATTAAATACACCATTTCTCGTAAAACAAGCTTCATCTGCACACAACACTTTACACGGAAATTCGGGTTCTCTAGCGATTTTGTTTTGAAACCATCTAAAAAATCTTAATCGTCGAGGTAAATCGCCTTGGTGTAAATCTTGTACTCGTTGGTAATGGTAAGGATGTAAGAGTTGTTCCGTAAATGTCTTGTGAACAATGTTTTTTGAAACGCCAACAATTCTAGCCACAGATCGGGTACTTACACTTGGATTATTTACGATTATTTATTTATATACAGATAGTCTACGGTTACTTCGTGTTCTACCACTAGTTTTTTTAGGTATCACACAACCCGTCTCTAATAACCTTTGGGACACGTTCACAAAACTTCGGGCATTAGGATGTCGTCGTCCGGGATAGCGATCAACATAAAGTTTAACAGCACTATTACTGTCACAGTGAGCTTCACCGTATGTAATTAACATATCGTGATACTCGCGAATCGAAAACATGACAATACTATTATATTCTTTAGCTACGGGTAATTACAACTGTTTACAAATAATGTACCTTCTCTGTATCAAAATAAATTAAACTATCAGATTCTACCCATACCTATTGGAGCGCAACGTTGCCGGATGTATTTGCTTTTCTGTGGATACTAATCAAATGGATTAAATTTAATATAATTAATTTTTTTTTGAGAACGGTTGACTTTATAAAAAATTGTTATAAGACTTTTTTGTTATTAATGGTACGCTCAGCCCATACCTTTAAGGAACGCACTATTTTCCGAGACACCCTGTATACAAGGTGTCCTATTTAAAACAATTGTATACCCGGTTCGCTATTCCCAGTCCGAACTGTCTAGTGATTTTAGTAATTATTTTTTTTCGAAGTTAGTTACTTTTTGACAGACTCGAAGTGGCTGGAAAATACTATACAACCAAGCATACGTGCTCTTAGTCAATATTAATGTAAACAAAAGTAAATAAAATAGAACTTTGGCGACAATCAATATTTATTTACACGATATAATGTATTGATAACAAATAATAAAATTATTTATTGTACAAAATAAAAAAGTGGGAATAAATTCTACAAAATTAAGAAGTCAAAGTGAGGTTAAATAAGAATAATACACAGCAAGTTCCTTATGTATTTACAACATTTACATAATTCGATAAATACATTTTAATGATCAACTTACTTCAACAGGGTTTTCATTTGGTAAAAAAAAATGGTAGGCATTTTGAATAAACCTTTGTGCAGTTTTATTACCTTGTAATCTAGGAACAGCATCCTTACTAATCTAAAAATATTAACTTAAAAAAAACTTTTTAAAAAACATTTTATCATATTTATTAAGAAAAACTTACCAACACATTAGCTGATGGAACAAATGGAAAACTTTGACTATCCATAATAATAAAATTTAAAATATAACTAACTAATTAACTGAACAAAAGAATTAAACAAAGATAATAAAACTATATTAAATAAACAATGCGAATAATACAAATATTTACTACAATATTTTAAATTTTACAATATTTACTACAATTCAAATATTATATTTTAAATAAACATGGAAAATTTGATGGGTTTAGTATACACTTCCACTATTTAGAATAATTCTTCTTTTTTTCAAAGAAAGAAGTCTGCAATAGTAGTATACTTGAGTTATTTATACTGAGAAGTAGGAATTGTTGTGTTGTAGGTTTCCTACAATGAGTCTGTCAAAATATGCCCTAGCTAAGCGAATAGACAATATGTATGCTTCATAAATGTAGTTATTAATCACCATATATGTTGCTAATAGTGTTTTAATATATAATAATAATTTCAGGTTTCTCTCGTGAAGATTCACAAACTGATGTCTACGACGTACTAAAAGAAGAACACGTTATAGGCAACGAAATAAAACAATATTTATCTGATACTTTGAATGTAAGCGCTACAGAGAAACCTTTTGCGTGCAAAATTTGCTCCAAACAATATTCTACAAAGAAAACTTTGAAACAACATACGAGACTGCACACTGGCGAAAAAAGCTTTACGTGTAGTGTGTGCTCAAAACAGTTTTTAAACGATTCGGTATTAAAAGTTCATATGAGGGGGCACACTGGAGAAAAACCTTTTACGTGTGAAATTTGTTTAAAACGATTTTCATCGATTTATTATGTAAGAATTCATAATATGATTCACACCGGAGAAAAACCTTTTATATGTAAATGTTGCAGCAAAGAGTTTGCAAGGAATACGGATTTGAAAAGGCATATGAGAATACACACGGGAGAAAAACCTTTCACGTGCGAAATATGTTCCAAACAATTTTCGCAACGTTCATATTTAAAAGAGCATATAAGAGTTCACACTAGAGACAAACCTTACCCATGTGAAGTTTGCAGCAAACAATTCACGAACAGATTTTATTTAAAATTACATATGAGACTGCACACCGAAGAAAAAGGTTTTAAATGTAAAATTTGCTCTAAAAAGTGTATAACAAAAACCGTTTTAAAAGTACACGAAAGGATACATACTGGAGAAAGACCCTTCACGTGTACAATATGCAGTAAAGAGTTTGCGAAAAATAGCGGTTTACAATCTCATCTAAAAGTGCACACCGGAGAAAAACCTTACGCGTGTGAAATTTGCAACAAAGAATTTTCAGCAAATACTCATTTAAAAAGACATATAATAGTGCATACCGGCGAAAAACCTTTCACGTGCAAAATATGCACCAAACAGTTTTCGCAAAGTACTCATTTAAAAGAACATATGAAAACGCACACTGGAGAAAAACCGTTTGCTTGTGAAATATGCTCCAAACAGTTTTCACGGAAGTTTCATTTGAAAAAACACGTCAAAACGCATACTGGACAAAGTGTTGACATCTAAGGGTAAGAATACGTAGAACGCCGGCGAACCGGCGCGCTTATTGCTGGTGCTGACAAGCGCGTATTTTCAGCGCTTGCCTGCTTCTACGTGGACAAGTGAAAGATGTAGTTGGATTCCGAAACTGAAGATGAAATGTTTTTATTAGAAAATGTCTACTTAAAAATTGTACATAGAAGGATCGTGTGCATGAAATTAATCGTGAACGGCGGGAATTCGGGGAGTACCACCACCTCTTTCCGCAGCTAAAAATGGACAGTCAGAGATTCTTTAGATACATGAGGATGAAATTGGACACATTTAATTACATCTTGAGTAAAGTAGAAGAAAGTTTATCAAAAAAGTGGTGTAACTGGCATCATCAACCCATACTTCCAGAAGAACGATAGTCATTTGTTTGAGGTAAGTATAACTTTATTGAAATTGCTTTTTTTACAAAATAATGCAAATGATAAAAACTACATATAGTATTTATTGGTCGCTGTTCTCTATAAATCCATATCTACTAATATAAAACTGCGAGTCTTGTTCCGATGGAATACTGTGAGTTGTTGAAGCATGGGACCGTGGTGCGAAAGGAGATTGCACGGGTAGTAATGGCTGAATTCTAAGCAAATTACTTGGGTACGCAAATTCTTGAACCAATTGTTGAATCCTACCGCAAAATTCTAAAATTCTTTCTGGCATAATCTTTTTTACGTGCGGAAGAATGCTTTTAAAAAAATGCAAGTCTTCGTCTTCAGACTCCTCTATATTTTTGTTATCGGTCTTTCGAGCCAGGATTTCTAGTTTTTTTCGGTCTATTTCCAGCATAGATGCGGTATAATCATTTGTCCTTTGACGTTTAACTATTCGTTTTGACATTGGCTGGAACTTACGAGTCTGTGACGTTGTTGCTGTAGGAGGAGTATTGGATGAAGTATTTTGAGGAATCGATGCTGCAAGAATCGTCAGAACGGAAAAAGTCATTTCCTACTTTAGCATAATCTAATAAATCTTTGTCGTCGGCAGTATCTAGTGATTGTTCATGTTGAATGACGACATCCTCATTTTCATCCTCAGTAGCATCAAGAGCTGTCACAGGAGATGCACTGCACTGAGAGTCTTGAGCCCTATGAGCTTCAGTTCAGGTCAAATTTCCCGAGCTAGGTCATGATTTAATGATGCCTTTCAGAAAGTACAACGATTTAAAGTAGTGCCACTTACTGATGTGCTTTTCCTCACCTTCATCTTCAGATGTGGGGCGTTTAGTTTTCGACAACTCTGTACTAAACTGATCACGCAAATACTTCCCCTTTTTGCGCAGTTTGTCTTCTGCAATAAAAAAAAAACGGGATAAAATATGTACGTACAAGAAGGTTCAGTGTTACGAAACTAACTACATTATGGTTAGTCGAATTCCTGTCTGTGTATAGCTACATTTATGAATACTGAAGCCTAATTTAAATTATGCGAATTTATGTTATTTTATTATTACAGGGACATATTATTTGGTTTCAGGTATTTAGCCACAGGAGCATCATTCAAAGTCTTCAGTTTCCGAGTGGGTTCATCAACTGTAGGGAACATTGTTAGAGAGGTGGTTACAATTGTATGGGATAAACTTCAGCTTTTTCATATGCCAGTACCAACCAAACAACTTTTTCTAGAAACTACTAAGGATTTCTTTGGTCTTTGGAATTTTCCAAATGGGCTTGGAACAATTGACGGAAAGCATGTCCGAGTTAAGTGTCCAAGTAATTCAGGATCCATGTTTTTTAATTACAAACATTTCTTCTCTGACGTCTTACAAGGCGTTGCTGATGCGAACTATCAGTTTATAACAAAACGGTTGTCTCGAATGAGAAAGTCAATTAAATGCGCATTTGGAATTTTATATGCAAAATGGCGTTTGCTTTCGAAGAGCATTGAAACAGATATTGAAATAGTAGATAGTATTATTAAGTGTATATGTATTTTGCACAATAACATTATTGATATGGAAGGCATAACACATCATTTAGCTGATGCAGCAATAATTACTGTGTCAAACAATAAAAAAAAAACCTCTCGGAAGACCGACAAATGAGGCAAAAAGTGTTAGGGATTTATTCACCACGTACTTTGCCAATAACCTTTTTGTTTACGGTGTGCAAACATATTTTTGTAATAGTGCAGAATCTACGTGACTTATTTATTTTTGCCCTAAATGTTCTACATGATAGAAATCATATTGTTTAATTAAGAGTTTCTAAAATATGTATTAGGGCCGACAGGCCGTATATAACAAAAAAATTAAATAGATACTGTAATAAAATCATTTGTTTACCTTAAATTTTCATTTGAAAATAGACTCACGTCCTTTCAGCACTTTTCCACATAATTCATGTTGGAATATTGTTTGATATGTTTATCCCATATAGCCTATCTTTCGTATACCAGACTGATCAATAGATCGTTGTCAATCATGTTAATAAATGCTTTTATAGCCTCAAATATTGTGTAAACGCACAAAAACAAACACTCCCAAATACCACTACCAGCGTCGTAGAAGCTAGAAAATAATGTATTGAACATTCTTGTTTGCTGGTCAGCGCCTATTGCAAACGCTGACAAGTTCAGACAAGCGTTCTTTGTGTACCGTTCATCGAGCAAAAAGACAACAAGAGGGAATGTAAAGGTAGTGGGGCCAAAAATATTGTTAGACAGGAAGTGCGATCTTTAGAGGCCACATTAAACAAGGAAAGAGAGTCTCTCTCTCCTTGTTTGACATCAAATTTAGTTGGGTTATGTTATTGTTTGTCCCAAATGTCACATGAAATTTTATTTATATTTGAAGTTTTTTAACAATTGTATCGCATTTTAGACTATTACCGTTAATAATTAATTAAAACTTTCTCGTCTAAGACACATTCTGAACAATATTATACAGCTACTTTTAATAAGTATCTAAAAATTTTAATTTGGCGAATTCGCATTTCCGGATATGTCCGCCATCAGAGGCCACTTTTTTGGTCTCCTGTTCATAAGGATTAGATTCCCTCTTTTGTCTTTTTGCTCGATGGTACCGTTCCATATCAAAGTATGCTAATAAACACCAGCGCTTGCTCGCCAGCGCCGGCAACACGCGTTCTACGTGTTCCTACCCTAACATTGTATGTATCAACGATGTAATATATTAAGGATGGAGCATATGAATAAATATTTGCGTCCAAAGTAACCGTTAACAATGGCAGCCTATTGTTTCCGGAATGTCAGTGGTTTACGAAAAAAATTCTTTTGATGCATATGCAGGGTGTTTCATTATAAATTGGAAATATTTTGACTAGATTCCTGTATTCAAGATTTAACCCAAATCACTTAAATAAAATATGACACCTTAGCGAGTTACGGGGTGTTTTATTTCAAAATTTAAAAACTATTTGTCTGTGGCGCACCCAGGGGGGTTTTGGGGGTTAAAACTCCCCCAGGCCATATAAAGAATAGTAGGAAAATGTAACTTGTCTTTCACACATAAGGCTGTTTTAGCAGTCAAAGCACACTGCGATTTGAAATTGGCGTATCACTTACTTTTCTACACTGCTTACGCCAGCCGACGACGGGTACAGTGGCGCCGGCCGACGGGTTTTTAATGACAAAAAATGCATTATTCTCCATTCAAATTGGTTTTGTCGGGAATACCTTTTTTGAATGATTATCGTAGATGTTTTAAAAAGAATTATCACATTTTTAATTTATATGTCTTAGCTAAATATAGTATTGAATAAAAATTTGTGAAACGTGACTGCAAAAAACATGGTGTTTATTTATAATAAATTTAAATTAACATAGAAATATTATTATCGAAAAATACAATTTGTTGTTACAAAGAAATAAACAATTTCGCAGTTATAGCTTGAAAATGATTTCAAATCGAACTAACTGACCGTGCGTTCATGAGATTTGACGTCACGAAGCCGATAACGGTGAAACTAAGTGAAATACTGAAATCTAATAGTGAAACTAATGATGAGTAACACGTTTCACTATTAGATTTCAGTATTTTTTAGCAATTTTCTTCAAAGTTTGAACACGCTTTTCTCGATTATTACCGGACACAGAAGGTGAAAAAAAATCAACGATTACAGAAAAAAAAAGTCTTTCAAGTGATGGGCGTAAAAAGTTTGGTTATAATAGAACGTTAAACTGCATAATCTGATATTTCAAAAGAACTTTCAAAAAAATTAAAAAAGTAAAACCATCAGTTTAAAGGCAACATAATTTTGAATAACGTGTCCAAATTTCGAGACATTTTGTCGGTAAATAACAGAGAAAACACTCTCTCTAGGTTTTGGTGTACCGATAAAACAGCCTTAAGACAAAAAATCCAAAACGCTAATTTAATAATTAAATTACCACTTTAAATATGTAGAATACAATAATTATTGTATACATACACAAAGAGTAGCATGTCCCTACAGGACTGTGCCTGCGGCGGCCTGGTGGACTATCACATGTTGTGTTCCTCCGCATGTGTTAGCAGTAGAAAAGAGACATATTTATGAGAGAAGAGAGCATTTGACAACAGCCATAAAAAAATTGTCAGCAGCTTTAAGAGCGGTGGAAAATTGAACCGAAGCTAGAAAATGGAAACACAGCTAGTCGTACATATCGCATCCCAAGGCGGACATTTCGACGATATTTAGAAGAGGGAAAGCAAGTAAAGTCTTGTCTATGGCAAAACACTATACTTACAAATGCCCAAGAAGCAAAATTAGTTCAAGGTATTATCCGTCTTTCGCAAAATGGATATCTACTTACTGCAAGGGCACATTGTAAGTGTGTATATCGGTATATAAATCTTAGTAAAATCTCAAATTCTTTTCAAGAGAGGAATAACTGGTCGTTATTGGCTACGTGGTTTTATAAAGAGAAATCCTCAAAACAGGCGTAATTGTTAGTCAGTCATGGTGTTAGGTAGTTTCGCATTTCTCTTCTAGGTCTTCAAAACTTTTGCCTTGAGCAGATATTGCAAGATTAAAGAGACATTAGAAGACGTAACTAAAGGCATATTTATTAACAGAGCACTTCTGAATAATCTTAGATACGCAGATGACTCAATACTCTTTGCGGACAGCAGAGAAGGACTACAGATCTTGGTTGATCGCATTAACCCAGTGGCGGCCGGTCAGGGTCGGCAGTGCCGACCCACACCTTTATAGATATTATAGATTTTTTTTCATAAATACTAAATTTTATTCATGGATTTTAAAAGAATTCGTCCAATGTAAGCGTTAAGTGATCCCTGCGTATACACTTTTCAAATTGATGATCCGATATCGGAGACATCCATCCGCATGTGAATTCTGAAAAAGGCACGTTTTGTTTTTTCGGCAAGCCGATCCCAACCAACGATTTACTTGTAAAAATCAACGGAATATTAGTTGATTAGCAACCAAATATAAATTTCTTTCCATATGAACTTAATTACCAAGTACGGCAAATTTAAATTTGCCGATGTTTCATTTGGATTGATGATTGGTCGCGAACTGTACATTGCGAGCGCGGGATGAAATGTTATTTCATATAAGAACAAAAGTAGTAAAGTGAAGTGATATTCAGTACACGAACTAGCCTTTCTTTTTGTGATTTGTTTTTATTTTCCAAAGTAATACTGTGATACGTTACGCCTGCCGTAAATAGTTAAAGGGTTTTTTAACATATTAGAAGTATTTTTTAAATTAAAGTGTAAACAAATTCAGGTAAATTAATCTAAAAAATGCAAGCCATGGGAGAAACTGTAAGTATTGATGTCTGATATTGTAAATTATATTTTGCATAATGGGTTTTCATCTATTCCATACGAAGAACAAATTGTTATTAAAAATAAGGGTCGTCCTTTGCTAAAATGTCTCGGCTTATAAATATAAGTGCGGGTAAGGGAAGTAATAGATCATTTTTAGATAATTGGTACAGCAAGTACTCATGGCTTACCGGGAGTGATATAAAAAACAAACTTTTCTGTTGGCCTTGCATTTTAGTTTCGACAAATAGGGGCAAACATCAAAATCCGTAGTGTGAATCTTTACGATAATTTATAGGAAAAAATTTATTTAAAATCCTTTATAAAAGGTATATAATAAAATGCCCAAACGGTCTATCACAAAGATATTGCAAAACGTTTTCGGATTATTAAATCTATCATCAGTGCAAACGAGGTATACATTCTATAAGCCACCAAAATATATGGGTCCAAACCCTTTAAATGATATAAATTTACATTTGCTTTACATTATATGTGGTTACAAATTATGATGTTTAAGTTACCGTTGGAATTGGTAACATGGCGACGTATG